GGGGGGGGGGTGTTCAGCTGCAACATGACACTTTAACACTAGATGTCACTAGATTCTACACACTGTACCTTTAAACCACAGATAAAGAAGAAGTGGCAGCCATGACAGTTACAGGACCTTCTTACCTGATCACCTCCAGCAGAGGAAACATGACACAACCTCGTAGTTTCACCTGGATACACCCACATAAATATAAAAAACAGAACATTGGCTGAGTCCAGGTCTTTATTACTGAAGGACACTGTTAACAGAGATGTACTGCTCAACGATCCTGGCGTGCGAACCCAGTGATAGACCGTGAAATAATAACAATAGAAATAATAGGAATTAAAAACTCAGTGAGGCATCATTGCTGCTGACTGGAACTCGCGCAGTGCAGAAAAACTTTATTGACACTCCCCCAGCGAATCTCATTGGCTGTTAGTTCAGTTCAGTGTTTGTGACAAAATAAACATATCTTTACAAAATTGAGACACTTTTACAGTTTCAGACAGAAAAGCTACAAACAGGCAGGTTTAGAACAAACACTGCAGAATTTCTATATATAAATGAAAAATAAAAACAGATCATAAGCATTATTTTTCAGACACGTTCCAGAACTGATGTGAATCATCATATGACTGTCTGAGCTCCTGAAATAATACTTCACAATATCATGATCAGAACTTAATATAAATATGATTACCATTAAACATCAAATAAACACCTAACAAATACAAAGGTCTAATTACCATAATATGCGCTATGCGTTTATACATTATCTACTCAATGGTTTATTTTTATTTGGTTTGTATTTTAACACACTGATTGTGTTTTTATCAGGAAACTTTATTTATACTGTAGACAAAATAAATAAAGTTTGTTAAACTAAAGTCAGGTTCTCCTTCATTTTGTGACATTTTCATCAGAAAACAATGTGACTCAGAGACAGACAGGTGGAGAGAGAGAGAGAAAGAGAGAAAGAGAGAAAGAGGGAAAGAGAGAAAGAGAGAAAGAGAGAAAAACGATTCCTCTATTGGTAGAATCTCTCTCTGTGTGTGTGTGTGTGTGTGTGTGTGACAGCAGGGCGGGGCTGATAATGAGCATGCGCAGTAACCACACGCATACACGCAGACTCTCAGCATCTTCTGACTGATGACAAAGGGACCTCTGGCGAGACGCGCCGCGCGTGACCGCGTCCTCTGCGTTGTGCTGCTGCAGAGCAAAGACAGACAGAGGGACAGACAGACAGAGGGACAGACAGACAGACAGACAGGTCAGTCTCGCTGTGTGTCGGAGGATGCGCGCGGCGGACAGCAGCAGCTTGCGGTGAGTCGGTACCGGGAGGCAGCGCGCGCAGTGGAGAGATGAGCAGCTCGTGGGGAACCGAACTGTGGGTACGTACACCCGTCCACCTGCCGCACGTGCACATCACCGGACCTCCGGTCCCGTTATCTGCCGGTAAAGAGCTGCGAGGCCCTCGTGCTTCTCTCTGCTCTTCCATAGCAACACGATCACTGACGTCAGCCACTCGCGCACTGCGTCCTCCATGACGCTGCTGCAGCACGAGACCCGAGACAGACAAAAGATGTTATTATTATTACTATTAATAATAATAATAATA